GACCCAAAAAGGGTCCATAACTTTGACAACCACCCATATGATGAGTGAAGCTATATTCCGTAATGAAGAGGTATTGGGCTCTTTGGGCAAGCCCCTGCTACCCTCCGCTGAGCTGCTCAGGCCGCGAAGAAGACGAAGGGCGCCGGGAACTTTCCTTCCTGGAGGCCATCCGAGATTCAAGGTACAGGTGGTCGTTGGGGTGTTACGGGGTTTACTGTGCAGCGGGGGGGGGGGGGGGGGGGNNGCAAGCAATGCTCATGGGCAGGGGGGGGGGGTACGCCCGCCACCCTTGTTTTGGGTTTAGGAGTCACTGCCGCTGAACTTTTGGTTTCTCCAAGTCCAGCACACCACAGTCCAGATGTGTGTGATCGCTGCATGGTGCCCGGACAACATGTACATCCCGGATGCACGACTTGCCGGATTCCCTTCGGAGATCATCCGATAAGATTGGAACCATACAGAGAAGATCACAAGTTGTTTCTTTGGAATCTGCTGGTGGCTGTCTGCATCTGGCTAAAGAACACAGGAAAGTACACGAAGCAAGCCAAACCCTAAACCCTAACCCCATTTTTGAATGGGCCCTTGCTGGACAGCAGCTGTGCCGACTCTCTCTCTCTCTCTCTCTCTCTCTCTCCAGGGGCCGAGTGTGGAATTGTCCGGTCGTCTGGTTTTGGCCTTGCGGCTTAGGGTTTAGGGTGTAGGGTTTAGGGGCATTCGGAACGTACAAAAATCCGTGTAGGGTCTACATTGTGAAGCCTTCTATGAGACTTCCTTAGTTGCGTATCTAGACACACCGGAAAGATGAATTACAGAATACCCCCAGAGGCGAAGCCAGAAGGTTTCAGAGCATATTCCCTGGCGATCATTCTCGAAGAGTTACCTTAAGAACCCAAAACCTACTTTTTTGTAGGGTCCCTATAAATCCCATATTAGGGTTTATAGTAAGAACCTACGAAAAAGTGGGTTTTGGGTTTGTAAGGTAGACACCTTGCATGCAAGATCTTGACGAAGAATTAGAAGCACTTGTTTCGGACGTTCAGGCTGCGACGAGGTTATGATCTTGCAGCCAGTGTCCGCTCAAAGTTTGGGTGCTTAAAGGGTAGAGGTGCACGGAGTTTGGAACCCGCTCTACAAATGTGTCTGAGAAGCCAAGGAAATGAGAACGCACCAAAGACCTATTGTGGGAGGTTCAGGGGCCTAGGCTAATTTAGGATTTCGGGTTTAGGAGGATTCGGACCTCCCCTTCAAAGGTGTCACATGTCGCCCCAACAACTTGACCGCAAGACAGCAGAAGGCCATGGAAGGGTAAAGATCGCGAAGCAGAGACGTACGGGGCCCCAGCCCGTCCGAAAGGATTCAGCCCAGCCCAAGTAGAGATCCTACGGAGGTTTCCCAGTCCGATAGCAATAGTCACTCCAAGTAGACTTCCACAGAAAGACTACTAGCCTGACTGATTACCTCGTTGGGAACATCGGGGAGGATTTTTGCGTCTGCTTCTGCGCCTAGATTCTGCTGATTCAATCCTAACCTAGACATGCCATAGGCTGGATGATTTCCGCCACGCACCGTCTTATTTCGTTCCGCACTTGCCGTGTCGTGTATGCATGCAGCAGAGCAAGCCGCAGGGGACCCCCAATGCCACACTAGGTCCGGTTTCAGCCCAGACTTAAGCCCTAAACCCTATACGCCGTATATGCCCGATAAGCCCTATAATCCCTATAAGCCCTGTAAACCCTATAAGCC